GATCCCCTTCGGGCTTTCCTCCGCCTGCCACATGACAGTATGGCCGTGGGTCTCTGCACCGAACTGCAGTGCAGAAAATATAACTGACCGAAAGGCTTCACGTGCTCTAATCCCATTAGGCAGGCTGAAAATGAAGATTTGATTTACAAAAAATGAATTTCGCTCTTGTCTTTGTTATAACAATCCAAGGGTCCCTAAGCAGCAGTTGCAGGCGGTGACCGATCACCGTGGGGCTTCTCACGTGCTGTAACAGCGGGTGAAACCCTCAGGCTTGGTGTAGGAAACGACAGCGTCTTGCACTGGTAGCAGCTGGACTTATCCGTCCATCCACCCCTACTCTGTCCAGCTGCCAAGCACTATCTTTACTAGAAGTACTTAAATCCTTAGAAATAGCATAACTTTTGCTGCATCTCTGTTAAAATCTCTGCCAAATGTCTGCCTCTGCTAGTTGAGTCACAGGACACTTCCACCTTGTCCTTCTGAGTAATCTAAATTTAAAAAGTCTTTGTCTTTTCATGATGAAAGGAGAATTGGAAGTGCTAAACATAAAGAACACGTGTCAATTCTTCAGATCTAAAATTGAGCAAGGAGCCTGACTGGTTCTTTTCATGTGTCTGAAATCTCTTGGTAGCACCTCGCTGTTGACCCGTGAATTATGGTGACAAGATGGAATTCCCTGCATCTTCTAACAAACCTGACTCCTACTTGTTGAATGTTGCAGTTTGGGAGTGCTTCTTTCTGGTGTTTGCCTTGGCTTTGTGTATGCTTGTTCGGAATGACGTGTGGTTAGTGCTGTCACTTAACTCTGATGTTGTCTCTTTTCCCTTCCTTTCTGCCCGCCTGCTGCTTTCATTCTGTAGTATTGGTATTTGCCATTCATTTCACCTTCTGCATCTATGCATCTCATGGTAGGTGATAGGCTTTTAATCTGAGATTAGACTTTCTGTAATGTTTCTAATTGCTAAACCTGAAAGCAGAAGTAAAAAAAAAAAACTGCGTTAAAATGGCATATTTGCTCCTGAAGACGCTTTCTTCGGGTGCTATGAAAATCCGAAGCTCCATTTGTTGTAGGAAGCGCAGTCTGCAGGAAGCAGTTTGAGCCAGAGGCCCTTCCACCTCTCGGGCGTTGGCTGAAGTGAAGCCACGACCTGGTGACTGCAGGTCGTTGCCATCCGGGAGTTACTCCATGGAACACGTGAAGTGACCGGAGACCTCCCGGGACCGCGCTCCGCACCCGGGAATGGGGAGCGCTGGGTGTGTGGGGAGGGAACAGAGGGACTCGCTTGCTCCTAATCGAAGGAGGTTCTTTCCAAATGGGATTGAAGTCGCCTTGTCAAAAATGTGACCATCTCTGCTTTTGAAGCAGCAAGTTCCTTCAAGGCACTAGGTTCTGTTCCACGCTTCCCCAGCTGAAGCAGCACTGCCCGCAGACCCCGGAAGGCTCCTGTCTTCTTTTTCGCCCTGTACTAAATTGCTTTTGCCTCTGTCTAGAACTCGGAGCTCTTCACACTGACGTACGGAGCTCTGGTCACCCAGCTGTGCAAGGACTACGAGAACGATGAGGACGTCAACAAGCAGCTCGACAAGATGTGAGTGGATCTGCCGTCTTGCGGGTGCTCTGGAAACCTGCAGACTGGGCTTTAGTTAATGTTGGTATTTTTCGGAATTGTTGCTTTTCTCCGTCATCTTTTTGTGCAAACGTCGGGTGTCTTTCTGACGCGGCGCCGTTCTCCTGTAGCTCATTGCTGTCTGGTGCGTTGGCAGGGGTTACAACATCGGCGTCCGGCTAATAGAAGACTTCCTGGCCCGGTCCAACGTGGGGAGATGCCACGATTTCCGTGAAACTGCAGACGTTATTGCAAAGGTAACTGTCCAAGGCAGCTCTGCCACGGTCGTGGCGCTGGTGACGTTGGAGTGGCAGTTTGAACCTCATTGGGAGTTCCTCCTGTGTCCACAGTTCTAATTTCAGAGATGCCTGTGGACATCTTTCCTTGAGGAGGACCTTCCATATTAGCTAGTTTTGCTTCGATAAAAGAGTATTTGGGGGAGGAAAAGAGATTTTGGGGAAGCAAAAAAGGAGAGAGAGAATTAGGTCTGTGACTTTTGCTGACTGGTGGAAATTGGGGGAAAGGAGCAGTGTTTTCAAAATCTTTAGTATTTTTTTTTTTTGACAAAGATCAGAGTAATATTGTGGCTTCATGGGTCACTTTCCTGTTGATACTCTGTTTCACATAACAGATAGCATTTAAAATGTATTTGGGCATCACTCCAAGCGTCACCAACTGGAGTCCGGGAGGTGATGAATTCTCCCTGATTTTGGAGGGAGAGGAAAAAAAAAGAGGGAGAGAGAATTAGGTCTGTGAACTTTGCTGACTGGGGGAAATTGGGGGAAAGGAGCAGTGTTTTCAAAACCTTTAGTATTTTTTTTTTTGACAAAGATCAAAGTAATATTGTGGCTTCATGGGTCACTTTCCTGTTGATACTCTGTTTCACATAACAGATAGCATTTAAAATGTATTTGGGCATCACTCCAAGCGTCACCAACTGGAGTCCGGGAGGTGATGAATTCTCCCTGATTTTGGAAAGTAACCCCTTGGTGGACTTCGTGGAGCTCCCTGACAACCACTCGACTCTCATCTATTCCAACCTGCTGTGCGGGGTGCTGCGGGGAGCCCTGGAGATGGTAAGGCACCGACCCGCTTGTGCTGCAGCAGAGAGGCCAGAGAAATCTGGACTGTGAAGATACCTTTATGAGTAACCAAGATACCAGCAGATAGTTCAGCATCTGGTGTGTCTGCATGACCGATGGCTTTGTTTTGGACGTGAAATACAAAGCAAGGAACGAGCAGGAGGGTGCTTTGTTGCTGTGCCTCCCTTGCTGCAGCTCCCAGCCTTGTTTAGCTGAACTTTTCAAGGCAATATCCAGAGCAGGACACAGCCCCGAGCAAGAGGGTCAGTTGGGGTCCTTGAAGGGAGTCCCAGCTACGCCACAGGAGGCACCTTGTGCAGGCAGGTGCCCACGGAACGGGGGAGATGTGATCTTGAGAGCGAGTGAGGGCTTCCCCGGAGCTCTGCGTCGCACGGCACGTCCTCCCGGGGGCCCTGAGCAGAGGGCGTCTAGGGAAGCTGCTCTTGCAATGGAATAACAGCTCTTTCCTCTTGCACCCTAGGTTCAGATGGCCGTGGATGTAAAATTCGTGCAGGACACACTGAAAGGAGACAGCGTCACAGAGATAAGGATGAAGTTCATCAGGCGGATCGAAGACAACCTCCCAGCTGGTGAAGAGTGAATCGCAGCCCAGCCTTGGGGCCGCAGGGGAGCAGCTGGCCGTTAGCTCTCATCACAGATCCGTAGGGAAATAGTGCCCCTGTGCATTCAGACTGACTCACTGACTGTTTAAGATGTCATATAGTCTTCTCCTCTTACCTCCATCTTCCATAGAAGACAATTGTTTGGTTGCTGTTTATTTCACAGGTTCATTCTGAAGCTTTTTCCTAAGGTGATGGTTTTTCCATGTCCTCCCCTGGAGACTCTTTCTATGCTGTTTCTAATTGTGAGATTTGGTTCTGCTCAAACTCTAAAAAGTTTCAGTCTGTTCAAATCTGAATCCAAGTTTGATCCCCAGAATTGGGGATACACGAGTGCCACTGCGTTTGCTAAATGCTGTTTTAAAAAAGAGGTTGCTAAAAGGAACTCTGCCATAGGCGCATGTCATTTCTGTAGACCAAACTGGCTTCCTGCAGTTGATTCTGAAGTTACTAGTAAAGTGCAAACCTGATCCCAAGGGGTGTTCAGCAGAGCTGCCTCAGCGCTTGGCTCCTTCTCCCAGAGCAGGAGGTCTCTGCTGCCCGGGCCCTTGGCCCTTTCCCTTGCCCAGGAGCGGTCTCAGAGCGGACTCAGCAGCCCCTTCTCCACCAGGTTGTTTGTGCTTTGGTCTCTTCAGCCTCCTCTCGGAACAGAGAGCCAGTAAATTGTGTGGGAGAAGCCCTGAGTACTGTAAATGGAGGGTTAAATGCATTTCAGCAGATGGAGTCTGTTTTCTTCTTGAATTCTGCACCGTGTAAAGGGGATGCCAGGATACACTCTCACATACGTGTTTAGGCTGACTTTTCCGTGTTATTTGAATTGGCAGGATAGAGCAGTCTGTAATACCTGCTGCAGTGTCGAGTAACTAAGTGCACAAAGTAATGTTGTGCCTCAGAACCCAAGAAATTGTCCTTTTCTTTGGCCACCCTTTTCAGACTGCAGTCAGACGTTTAATTCTCTATCCCCGTTACACAGCACGGAGGCACGGATCCGCAGGGATAACTGGGAGCCTGTGGCTGCCACGGGCGCTGGGGCTTGGCCGTCTCTGCGGGTTTGTGCGTGAGCGTGAGGTGCAGGAGAGACGGTGCTGCCGGTTGTGCCATGCGTCCTGCCAAGGACGAGGGCGCAGAGCGCTCGGGTTCTCCAAAACACCCCCAGGAGGTTCCTTCCTGAGGAATTCACCCTGCTTTGGGCTGGCCGGAGGCTGCGCTTGGGCCCAACGCTGTCCCTTGTCCCCAGAGCGGCTCAGCCGAGGTGGCCACCTGGGCTCTCCCCTTGAGCCCGTTGTGCTGGGGCAGTTCTGGCTAGTTGGGAAAGGCTGGAGACTGTTCTCGTTAGTGCTGCAGTAATTGGGCTCTGCCAGGGAATCCAGGTTGTTCCATCAGCCAGACTCCACGGCTCAGACAGGCCCTGTTTTCCCCGGTTAATTCCTTTGGGCTTTGCTGTGGTCTGTCCTGGAAAGGGGCTCCGAGTCACTTTAAAGGTGGTCAGGGAATTACTGCAGGCAGCAGCCGTGGCTAATGATGCTCTGGGGGTGGAGGTGCCGCGTGGTCGCCTTGCAAAGGTGCAAAGAGACGGGTCGTTTCTCAGCATCGGTGGTTATAAGTCATGTTAAGGATGCATTTTAAAAGCAGTTACATTAAAAGCAATCCCAGCGTTGACTCTGGTTCTTTTGGAAACTGCTGCCCTGCAG